CAGAAGGTTTCCTCTACATCTTTAGGTGATGAACATTTTACCTTCAGCATTTCCTTCCTTGTTCCTGTTACCATGATACACTTTATTCCCCTTCAAACAGTTGGAATAAGAAGCTTATTTGAAGACCGCATTATTGAGGACAGAACACACACTGTAGGAACCACACACATTTAGAAAATGAACAGCCTTGCTATTCTTCGATGAAAAGGCAAATAAGAAAATAGAAGATAAAAAAAAGTGTGATGCCTTTTTTCCCCCCCCCCCCACTGTTTTATAGAATGAAGTGTCCTTCACATGCAGGATCACCCCTGTAAGCTTTAACTAGAAAAGGGAGGTGTTCAAGTAAAATCCAGTGAAAATAAGGAGTTAATCATTTTCCAATAACTTAGCAGGTCAGATTAAAGATCATGTCAAAGACATTATCACCTTGTGAACATTTTTATATGTTAACCATTAATTTTCAATCCAGTCTATGAAATGATATAGTCAGAGCAGTACGAGGTACACAGATACCTAAACACACACACTTGTAAAAATAATCTAGATGAAGAGAAATTACTCCGTGATACAATGGACAATTCAGGCTGTGACAAGCCAAAGTAAGAAAAAAAAACTCATAACTGAATCTTTATAAAGAGCTGATTCCATCTAACTGTGTTGCAAATAAAGAGAAGAGCAGCTCATGGCACTGGCAGAGCAAAAATTAGCGTCAACAAAGCACAGGTCTTAATCTATTTAAACGTGTATGAAGACAGCAGTGAAGAAATTAAAATTTGGATATCTGACCACTCTAACTGTCAAGCAAGAGCAATGATTATTAATATTTAATTAAAAAACAACAAGCACTGGGAATGGTTGCTGACCAAAAACACGTTGAAAATTAACATAATCCACTCTTTGTCTCTTCAGCTTGTTCAGCCAGCATCTAGTCTTCCTGAGCTTTTTTCACTGTACTGGAAGAAGCAAAGTTCAGGAAGGCAGCAACTGCTTCACTCCACTCAGACAATCCTGCAGAGTACATGAACGCCTCGCACAGGCAGAAGTTCCACCACAACCATGGGAAACTTAAATGAAACAAGCTGTTTGATTTCTTAAGTAAATTAATACGCTCCTGGTCACAAATTTATGCTCTTGATAGGTACTTCACTGCAAATGGCTTTCCATTTCATGATGCAATGAGTAAATCAGAACCAGATTATACACCCATGCCTTTACTTTGCTTTTTCTTTCTATCCAAGGTCTCTTCAAAGCTTAACTGGTCTTTCTTTTTTTCATATTAAACTTTAAAAAGATTTCCAGGTATCTAGGTAACACAGAGAGAAAAAGGTATGCCCTCTTGACAAAAAGCCGGACCTATAAACAACAGTAAAAAGCACAAAGATTTTACAGAGGCCAATATCAACAGCCTCTCCTTGACAACTCCAGTTTCCCTACCATAATTTGCCTAACCTAAAGCCTGAGATCTGTGCAGCTCAAGAAAAGCTAAGTCACTTACCATTCTCTTATCTTGAAAAGAAGAAGGGCTGCACATGGTAATACTTTAGTAATCCACCTGAAGAAATTAGGTCTTTTCTGCTCAATGGCCACACTCTGAACGCAAACTCTGAACTTCAAAACCAGTTACCTAAACGCAAAGATGTTAAGTACTTCTGTGCCGTCTGAAACAATAGGCATCTTCTATGAGCACAGTTTAGAATAGCTCAGGCAGGTGGGTGGAAGGCAGGCATTATCAGTTACTAAACAGGAGGATCTTTTTTATTATTAAAAAACGAAAAAAAACGGTGTATTAACATACTGCCAGTTTTTTTTTTTTAAATAAAAATATTTGAATAACCAGTGCAACAACATCTAGTATCACGTTTCCTCAGAGAGGAAAAAAAGAAAAAAAAAATCTGTCCTTGATGTTTTAATCAGGAAGTTTGTTCTATGCCCCACTGCAGTAAACAGAGGAATTCCAGGCATAACTTAAAAACTGGTCATAAGAAACGAAGCCTTGGTTTCTTTAAAATGTTCTTTCCCAGTTTGATGCACTATTTTCATGTCATCAAAGTGCAATTTGCAATTCTGATGAAGAAAATGATCAATCTTTCAGCTGCAAGAACTCTGCACAGTAAGTAAAAGCTGAATGCCAGCCACTTGCAGAAAACTCTCCAATCCTTATTGCTTTACTCTTCGTGCAAGAGGGATGAAGAAGAAAAACAAACTTTCCCTCTCCAAAACATGGGCACAGAATTAGCTACAGTAACAGACAAACCACAGCCCAAGAATACAAACAAATAGGTTTATTGGCCAAAACCTTTAAAAATATGAGACAGTAAAAAAGTAACTTTACAAACAGAATGCTCCCAAGCTAGACTGTAATCATGGCTTGTCTACTTCCTCTTCTGAGGTGAGCACACACTTCAAAGTGCATCAGCAGTTGAGCAAAGTGCAGTTACAGCATGCAACTGAGGCCAGCGCTCTCCTCCAAGTTATGCATGCCTGTTCATTCTCCTTAGCTGTAAGGGCACAAAGCAGTTCCTCCGATTACGTATAAACAGAACAGACTGACAAAAATTGGAGTATATATGAACTTAACTGGACGGCCAAACAGAAAGTCTTAAAAATAAATAGCATTGGTGATAGCAATCCCAGAAGCTTCATAATTATCCTTTCCAAGGTTTTCATTCTGGTCTAACCCTATAGATGCCTTTTCCTTGCTTTTAAGGAGAAATCAAACTGTTTCGGCTGCAGCACAGGAAGCATTTTGCCAGGGTTGAATGTTTACCACTCTGGTTATACAGTCCATATTTACAGATGTTTGTTTAGATGTTGTCATCGACTTATACAGATAATGGACTTAACTACTTAATTAGTAGTCCAATTAAGTTAGACTTAAGTTGGACTTAACTACTGTATGTGCCACAAAATAAAAGAAAAATAATTTTTAAAATCTCATTTAACGTTTTTGCAAGCAGTCCAAAGGCAAGCTTTGTTAGAGATAATGACAAATGTAAACTCCACATGAGAAATATAATACTACTTTAACACCTGTCTTCCTATTAGCTTATCTATTCAGTAGTTAACTTTCACAAATTATTCTGAAACTTAGAACCAAAGGAACAAGACAACTTCATATTTCAGGCCTGTCTCATCACAGAACAAACATAACTTTAAAAAGGGAGAGAAAATTGACTGCAGAAAATACTGTTGCTTAACCAATAAATTCATATGAATAATCTTCTCTCAACCTCTCTTAAGACCCAAAATAACTGTGTAATCTGTAAGAAGCTTTCAGAGTTAGCACTCGGAAGTCTCAGTTATTTTCCACTGCAACATCATCTTTCATGTGTATTGTATCAGTTCTTTGTTTAAACACAAGAAAACTTGATCACAACAGTGCATATTACCCTGATGATCACTTGAGGTGAATACATTCAGGACAGTGATTAAAACTCTCCATCAAATCATAACTAAGAATGCACACTAGATGAAGTTCAGATTTAAACAGCTGTAGCAAATAGCAATATAATTGTAATTAAATCAGAACTGCTTTCGTCCTTCACTGTAAGAAGTGATTTTTTTTCCAAACAAAATGATTTTTAAAGCAATAAAATTCTGAGCTGATGACAGACTGAAGTTGGTTTTTCATTCTTCTATATGCCTTGTTCAGATCAATTCAAGTAATCAATAGGCGGATCTATTGTCATTTTCTCAATACTGATTGTCATCATTGGAATTGGTGCAGATTTCTCTGCTTTCCTCTGCAAAAAGTACAAGTAGTAAGGTAGCAGAGATGGAACAAAGCAATGAGAAACTCATTGTAAAAAAAAAACACAACAATCACATATTGAGAAAAGATGGTTTAAAACCCCCTGGTTTCTGATGTCTTTAATTCTAACCAAGATAAACAGATTAGTTTCACTAGGGACGTTTTCCAAATCTTCAACGGTAAAGAACACTACACAAATGACAACTCATAAGTGCTAAGTGCTATGCTCGGTCCTCTCTCTCTGCATTATATGCAAATACAGAGTTCTTTAACCAATGTAACATCACAAATTACACGTATCAAAATAAGCTGAATGCTTGGATTTCAGAGCCAGTTCATAATCTCAAATAATGTCTTCGACTTTCACTTGGATATTATCACCACACAAGATCAAAACCCCCCTATCTGGCAACAGGAGGGTTAACAGCCAGAACTTATCGATGTTTCCAAAATACAGCAGTGGCACCAGCAAGAGGTAACAGGGTTCACCATAAACACCACCCAAACTCGTGCTTTATCACTGGGTAACATTACTTTATGGCACGGCTGTATCTTGACGAGACAAAGACATCAAACCCTCCTAAAGTGGCTGCAGCAGCGTTAGCTGGATAACAACCCAGAAGAGAGGGCACGAGATCCTCAGAGAAGACTAAAAACAAAACCTGCAGAAGGGACGGAGCGGCTGCTGGAAAGCAAAGCCTGTGACGGGAGCAACCCCCAAGGCCCCGAAAGGTCCACGGGCTGATCTCTGCCACAGGGAGCCCGGAGAGGATGGCAGGGGACGACTGGGGAGGGGAAGCAAACGCTGGAGCCGGGGTGCCCGCCTTCGGGCGGCCCCACCAGCAAACGCCGCGAAGGGCCCCGCACACAGCCCGGCAGTCCCGCAGGGGAGCGCCGGGGGCCCGGCACCGCCGCCCCATGCCCTGGGGAGGCGGAACGACACCGCCGGCCCCGGCCGGCCCCGGCCCGGCAGCGACCGCCCAGCGCCTGGGGGGGTGGGTGGGGGGGGGGGGGCCAGCGCGGCGGGGCCGCCGCTCGGCGAGACGCTGGGGGGGGGCCGGAGCCCCTGGAGGAGCCAGGCCCCCGCCCGCCGGGGTCCCCGCGCCCCCCGCCTCTGCCGCCCGGAGCCCCGGGGAGCGGCGGGGCCGCCGCGCCTCCCCCGCAGGCCGCCTCCCCCACAGTTCCTCTCCCCGCCACCTTCGCCCCCGCCCTCCCGGGCTGCCCGCGGCGCGGAACCTGCTCCCCTCACCGGGCGCGGCGGCTCCTCCGACCCTCGGCCAAGATGGCAGCCGGTCCGGGCCCGACCCGAGGCAGCGACTTTCCGAAGTCGGGCGGGATCCGCGCACGCGCGGAGCCGACAGAGCCGCGGCCGGGGCGCCAGGACTACAAGTCCCGGCGTGCTCCGCGCGCGCGCCCGGCGGCCCGAGGGGCGGGCGGGCGGTGAGGGCCTGAGAGAGCCGCGGGGCGTCGGCGGGGGCGGGGCTCCGCGGCTCGGGGCGGGCGCCCGGAGGCCTCGCGGAGTCCCCGCCGCGGCGCTGGGATCCCGCGGGCACCTCGCGGGGGCGGCTGGCCGCAGGCCACGGCTGCCGTTTCCCCGCTCCGGTGGAGCCGCCCGGCTCAGCTGCAGCGCTCGGTCCCGGCCCTGGTCCCCCCTCGCAGCCGTCCGTCAGCGGCGGCTGCCTGGAGCGCTCGCGGAGAGCCCACAGCCCAAGGCCGTGAACCCCCAACACCCAGAGTGGACCTCGGACCAGAGCTAACCCCGAGCCCAAATTCTGAGCCTCAGCCTGGGACAATTGACACCGGACCCTTGACCCCAGACCCTCGACCACAGAGCTCCTGCCCCGGAGTTGACCCCGAGCCCCGGACCCAGACCTGACCCAAAGTCCCAGACCTGGAGCTGAGCCCAAGCCCCTGACCCCAGGCGACGACCCTGAGCCCCAGACTTTGGAGCTGACCCCAACCCCGGAGCTGACCCTGACAAAACGACCCCTGAAACAGACCACAAACCCCAATCCCTGAAACAGACCCTTAACCCCGGAGCTAATCCCAAGCCCAAGCCCCAACTCCAGACCCTTGACCCCAGAGTCCCAATCCTGGACCCTTGACCCTGGAGCTAACCCCAAGCCCTGGGCCCAAGCCCCGGACCCTGGAGCTGACCCTGACCTGTGACCCCCGGAACAGAACCCAGACCTGAAGATGACCCCAACCCCAGACCCTGGACCCCAGACCCTGGACTCCAAGCCTCAACCCAGAGCCCCAAAACTTAGCTGACCCCAAGCCCCCAAACCTGAAGCTGACCCTGGACCCAGAGCTAAACCCGAGCCCCAACACCGAGCCCAAACCCTGGACCCTTGACTCCGGACCCTTTACCCTGGAGCACCCAACCTGGACCTGGCCACAGAGCCCCTGGCCCCAGACCTGACTCCAGAGCCCCCGACCCAGACTCAACTCCCAGGCCCAACCCTGAGCCCCAGTAACGAGCCCCCACCCCAAACTCTCGACCAAGGAGCACCCAACCCCAGAGCAGACCTGACTATGGTGCCCCAGCCCTGAGCCTCAGACCCAGACCTTTGACCCCAAGCCCCAGACGTAGACCTGACCCCGAGCCCTGGATTGACCTGGAGGTGACCCCAAGGCTGGACCCTGGAGCTGACCCTGAGCCCCTGACCCTGGAGCTGACCCCGCACCCGGAGCTAACCTCGAACCCCCAACCCCGAGCTCACACCCGGAGACCCAAACCCAAGCCCCAACCCTGAGCCTATACTCCAAGCTCTGTGGTTGAGAGTCTGGGCTTGGGGCTTGGGGTTGGTGCTCAGGTTTGGGCCTCGGGGCCGAGCCCAGCTCTGGGGGTCGGGGGCTCTGGGGTAGTGTTTCTGGGGTCAAGGGTTTGGGGTCAAGGGTCTGGGGTTGGTGCTCGGGATTGGGGCTCAGGTTTGGTGCTTGGGGTTAGCTCCAGGGTCACGTCCGAGGTCCGTTTCAGGCTCAGGGTCAGCTCCAGTTGTCCTCTTCTTTGTCATCTCTCAGGACCCACGGTTTGGTGGCTCAAACCCCACCTTTGGAATTCCCTATTCACCACCATCACCCAGGAAATTGGTTTCTGATTTTAACCTGGAAAGAATCAACTCCAGCCTGAATCGAAGGACCATTACTAACAACTGAAACAACCGGTAAGAACTGCAGAAAAAGGTTGGACTCGCTATACTCGAGTGAAGGCATCCATCGACACTAGTACCTGGGAAACTGTTCCTACAGAAGACTTGTTGGAAGTTGAAATTGAAGAGAAAAATCTCATAGTGCACTCTGAGCAGGATAAAAGCTTACAGTTGTAAACTAAACTGTAGTTTAGTTTACTACTGGCCTGTAGCAAATCGAAGTGCTCCCAAGGGGTTTTTGTTCTAGCAGTTCATATATCTTATTCTTTGTATTGATAATTATTTGGAAACCTACAGGTTAAAAATAATAACAGGGAAAATTCAGCTGTTAATTTTGTTTCTAGTAATTGTAGGCCTTAGAGAAGGCCTTGGTCAATTGGCAACTTGGAAAAGGCATGACCAGATAATAGTAAGATGGGATACCCCGTCAAAATATGGATGACTGTGACAGAGGGTTATGTACCACAATCTGTCACGAGATTGAAACAGGGTATGGGGATGTGAATGCCTGGATAGAATGGGTCAAATATACCGTCCAGAGTCTCAACCATAGCTACTGCTATGCTTGTGCCTTGGGACGACCAATTGCCCAGATAGTGCCCTATCCACCCATGGGGGTGGACCAAAGACTCCCAAGGGATGCGATGTATGATTGCATTGCACCAAGAAAAGACTGCCTGGGGAAATGAGGCCTGTAAGTCTCTCTCTTTGCTTTTCCCTTCCTTGATATCAATATCAGAGCTCCCCCTGTATTCTCCACAGCTGTAGGTAACCATACAGCTTGCCTCTCATGGCAGGGTGTGAGTGCTACCCAGCATCTGGGAGAATTTGCCTTGTGCTACCAAGGACTTGATGGGAAACTGCTCAAGACTTGAGATCCCCAGGGCAGATCTCTGGTGGTACTGTGGAGGGAAGAACTTAAAGTCCACCCTACTCTCTAATTGGGGAGGCACTTGTGCAGTTCAAACAGCTATACCCTTCACCCTGGCATTTGAAAGAGAAACATCACAAACACCCAGAAGTAAAAGACACTTAGGAGTATCATTCAATGATAGAGTGTACATAGATTCTATTGGGGTACCTAGAGGAGTTCCCGATGAACATAAAGCCAGAAATCAAATTGCTGCAGAGTTTGAGCCACTGTTCTGGTGGGTAACAATCAATAAGAATGTGGATTGGATTAATTATATCTATTATAATCAGCAGAGATTCATTAATTATACCAGGGATGCAATAAGAGGAATCGCTGAACAACTAGATGCCACCAGCAAAATGGCCTGGGAAAACAGTATAGCATTAGATATGATGCTTGCAGAGGAAGGAGGTGTGTGTGTGTGATACTGAGCAATCATTGTTGCACTTTTATACCCAACAATACTGCTCCGAATTGCACAGTAACTATAGCATTGCAAGGGCTTACCACCCTTGCCAGTGAATTGGCAGAAAACTTAGGAACAGACACTGGACGATTGGAATCTTGGTTTGGTAAATGGAATGGGATGGTAGTGTCCATATTTACAGCCTTGATCATAGTAGCAGGAGTTTTGACAGCCATTAGTTGTTGCATTACCCCCTGTGTAAGGGGACTTGTCCAGCAGTTAATTGAAACTGCACTATTGTCGTGGTTTAACCCGGCCGGCAGCTAAACACCACGCAGCCGTTCGCTCACCCTCCCCCCCCCTCTCTGGGACGGGGGAGAGAAATGGAGAGTGAAGCCCGTGAGTTGAGATAAAGACAGTTTAATAAGACAGGAAAATAATAATAACAAAAATAATAATAACAATAATAATAATAATGATACAATGGTGATAATACAAAAGTAATAGTATGTACAAACAAGTGATGCACAATGCAATTGCTCACCACCCGCTGACCGATGCCCAGCCTAACCCCGAGCAGTCCGGCCCCCTCCCCCCAGCTAGCCACCCCTATATATTGTTTAGCATGACGTCAGATGGTATGGAATACCCCTTTGGCTAGTTTGGGTCACCTGTCCTGGGTCTGTCCCCTCCCAGCTCTTACTGCACCCCCAGCCTGCCCGTTGGCAGGACAGAGCAAAAGGCTGAGATGTCCTTGGCTTAGTATAAGCACTGCTCTGCAACAATTAAAGCATCGGGGTGTTATCAGCACTCTTCTCATCCTAAGCCAAAACACAGCATTCCACCAGCTACTAGGAAGAAAATTAATTCTGTGCTAACTGAAACCAGGACATCTATTGAAACAAACGACCATGGATCCACCACCCTACTCAGATAAGATGATGATATTAGAGGAAATGGAAAACAAAGAAAGTGAAGAAGAGGAAGGTATCTACCAAATTACACATTAGAGAAAAGTTTTGCAAAAATCAACAGTTTATAAATAAGAAAAGGGGGGAATTGCGGGAATAGAAATGTTGTTTTTGCAGAGTTACATTGTTTAGAAGGAAGGAATGTGGTATTGAGATATGCTTACAGTGATAAGAAAGCTTAGCAGGTGACCTTGTAAAATGCAGATAACCATACTCCTTAGGACAATTAGGTGAAAATCACGGTGTTAAGTCAGATAAATGAAGAAACATTACCACTTTAAACAGTAAAAATGTCAAAAGAAATTTGAAATTCAACAGGCTGGCAACTGAAGGCCATGCATTGTCTGTGAAGCATCAGATTGTGAACCTGAATTACCCACTCAGTGGGCAAACAGGGGAGGGTCCTGTCATCAAAAAGTATATAAACTGTCTTTTGGAACTAGCAGGTGCGCTCTCCTACTTGTGGGGCACCTGCCATTGCAATCTCAAATAAATTACTACTTTACTGAGATCCTCACCTGAGCCTTAGTTATTGGCTACAGAGTGTTTCTCACAACCAGGCTAATAAAAGGAGCAGGGGTATTTTGTAGCATGAGTGCATGTGCCAAGCAGGACAGTTCCCATCTGTCTTGTAGTGCTGCTTCTGCAGTGTGGGTTCTGTGCTAATTTGCACAGTAGTAAGCAAAGACACTCAGCAGTATCTATTTTTAAGCAGTTAAGCAAGCCCCCATTCTTTCATTCCTGGCTTTAATAATTATGATTGTTTTATTTAGAAATCATTATTACGTTTAAGCGAGCCCCCATTTGAAACATGGGATTAGGAATTAGAGAGCGATTGATTAAGAATGAATATGTAGGCAACACTGATTGCTTAACATGTGCTACATTTGTGATGTGCCTGTGCTGCACTTAGGCCTCCAGATAACAGGAGCCCCTGGGACCACAAGACCCA